CATGCAGTTAGGAGAGGCTGTTCACTGAAGGACATCATGCTTGGAAAACTGAAGGGTCAACAAAAGAGAGGAAGACCCTCAGTGAGATGGATTGACATAGTGACTGCATCAATGGGCTCAAGTATGTCAGATATGATGAGCATGGCACAGGATAGAACAGGGTTAAGATCTTTTCTTAGGGTCGCTATGATTCATACTCATTTCAGTGCCACCTATCAGCAACAATAAGCCATCAGAGTTCCCTAATAAAGCTATAGTTCAATAAAACTTTCCCATTTTTCTATGTAAAACATTTCAGAAAAGTATCATATAGTTATTCTTTTGTACAATTACCACACAAGATCCCTATATGTCAGAGCAAAGAATAATGTTGAAAGGACTGAAATTCTCTCTCTGCTGAGAAATCTATCTCAGCAAATCTATCAAGTGCCAGAATAAAGTCTATGTTACAATTATGATATGGGTAAATCGAAGAGAACAAATGGATTCTAGGCAGAGACCAGAAATGCTGAATTCTTATAATGTATTATGAAGAAGTTTGTTTTTATAAAACTGATACACCATATGACTAAGTCAAAAAATAGCAAATGTTAGATATATAGTCCTCATTTCACTGATAAACCAACAAAGGCCAATGTGACATTAGGTAATTAAAAGCAGAGTTTTTCCTTGGCAGAGGCCTTTTCTAGTTTACTAGAGTTCCATCATGATGTTACTGTTGTTATCTGCCATTGAGTCAGAAATGATGCATAGTTGACCCTCCAGTGGGTTTTAGAAGCTAGAAATTGCACAGAAGGTGATTGCTCATTTTTCTCCCATGAAGCAGCTGATGGATTTGAGCCCAGTGCCTTTGGATTGGTAGTGCAACTCCTTATCCCTAAGCCACTGGAGCTCATTCATAGGTATATTTAACTTGTGCAAATTCAACTATCTACATATGGCAATAAAAGATGAAATACCAGACAACTTTATTTCTATACCTTTTTTTTATTATCATGTCCTCTATGATATGTTTATAGGGAACTTTAGTGGCCTAGTGGCAAGAAGCTGCGCTGCAATCCTGCAGTTCAAGGCAACTAGCTGCTCTGCAGGAGAAGGATGGACAGTTTTCCTCCCGTGTGATTAAATGGCTCTGAAAACCTTTGAGAAGGTCAGCTATGGGTCTGTTCTGACTCCAGAGTACACAACAGCAACATGGCATGTATAGAGAGCTCTGCTGGCCTAGTGACAAGAAGCTGCTCTGAAGTCGCAAAGGCACATGGTTCGAATCCACCAGCTACTCCACAACAGAAGGATAGGCAGTCTGCTCTCATGTGATTTACTGCCTCTGAAAACTTGCTGGAGGGTCAGCTATGGGTTCCAACTCGATGGTACAACACAACACAATGTTAATACATGGTATGTATAAAACACTCGTCCATGTTGTTATATAGGTTGTATGCACAAGCCATGTACACTATACTTTAAGGGTAATTTAAGAGGTCTTCAGGGGTAATTTTTGTTATAAATTATTTGAATCTCATGGAGAAATTTAGAACTATATCTCTTAAGAAAATACAGCTCCTCATCTCTTCAAAACATTAATTCATGGTGTAAGAACCATATATGATTCTGTTTAAAATGCAAATTTATGATTTTTTTTTCATATTCACCAACAAAGTAAAAGGATTTCATTGCATTTATTTATTTATTTAGTAGGACCATGTTAAATTTTTAGTTTAGTGGGGAGAAGGGAAAGTTGTGACCTGAATCTTATTTGAGTAGTTTTAATTTTCACTTCAACCAGTCATCAAAAACTCTACAAGTCTCCACCACAAGGTAAAGGTAAATAACCCAACTGAGAAATGGGCACAGGATATGAACAGAGACTTCACCAAAGAAGACATTCAGATGGCCAACAAGCACATGAAGGAATGTTCAAAATCCCTAGATCTAAGAGAGATGCAAATCAAAACAACTATCATCTCACCCCAGTAAGAATAGCAAAATATAACAGGACAGCAATCAACAAATGCTGGCGAGGTTGTTGAGAAACTAGAACCCTTATCCACTGTTGGTGGGAGTGTAAAATGGTGCAAACACTATGGAAGACAGTATGGCACTTTCTCAAAAAGTTGCAAATAGAAATACTATTTGACCCAGCAATTTCACTACTGGGAATACACCCTAAAGAAACCATAACCGTCACTCAAACAGAAATAAGTACACCCGTGTTGATCGCAGCTTTGTTCCCAATAGCAAA